AGCCAGCCTCTGCCCAAGAGGCAGATGTTCTGGCACTGGTCCAGGAGAGGGCAGGACAGGGCAGGCAGCACTAGAACTCTGACAGGAATATCAGCCACAAGCCCAGGGAGGTGTCCCGGCCCCGAGGATACACTCTAGCCCCAGCATGCAGCAGGGACTTCCCCACCCACCAGCTCCTCACAAGGCCTCCTTTGAGCAGGGAGGGTGGCTGGCGCCTCTTTAAGCATCCTGGTCTAACGGCTTCTGGTTGGCGCATGAACTATACACTCCCTAGCCTTTCTCAGGGATGCTGTCAATGTACGTCCTCCAGTCTGACATGGAAGTACCTCCAGCCCAAGCTCCAAAGGGGCACTATGGCCTCCAACATCTTTCTCGCTGCTACAGCAAAGCGCAGCCTTTACAGGAGTCAAATGCACCTTCTGCAAAGCTGGGCAAATTTTACTAAACATATAAGGGATGACTGTGTACACAATTATTTTACAGTGTGTACAGGTGGTCGCTGCCTCAAAGACAGAGGTGGTCTTCCTCCAGGTCAGCTGAGACTGATATACAGAAGATCTCTGTGGCTCCTGGTCCAGGGAGACCTCCGCGTGGAAGGGAACAAAGAGTGGTTTAGACCTGAGCCCCAACAAGTCATGGGTGAGCCTCTGCCAACTGCAGGCACTGATTTGCAATGGAGCTACTCCCTCCATGGGCGGCTGGCAGCTTGGCAGCCTCACAAGCAGAGTTCCACAGGAGGCAGCAGAAATGCATTTATTTAATTAAGGTAAATGCTTCTCCAGGCCCACAGCAATCTTTGCGGTTATGGTGGCAATGATAATGGCTATCTGCCAAGCCTTTCTTCTATGCTAAGCACTTTACCTATTTGTCTCATTTAAATCTCCCACACACTTCAGTGAAGTAGGATTCATGTTCCCAGTTTAGAAATGAAGATGTAGGGAACTGAAGCTGCGAGGTGATCTGCCCAGGGCCATGCTGTACATCACTTGCAAAGTCAAGACTCAAACCCCAGCAGCCAGGGTGCCGAGTCCACGCTTATACTGATCCCCACAAAGTTAATACGTTGCTGCAAATGACGGCCATAGCCGCCCCACACATTTTAATTAATAGAAAAGGAACTTCATTCATACGAAGTGTACTAATGCATTTATTTGTTAATTATTCAGTAATACATCAAAAAAATGTGTTTCTAAGCAAAGTCGTCAATTTAAAAGTGTGTGGCAACGTGTTAAAACTCAGGGAGTCAATGTCCTTCCTATACCACACCAAGGAGCACAATGGGAAATCAGCAGGAGAAGCTTCTGCCAGAGAAAGAAGAGTATTCACTTATTCACCTGAGCAGACTCTACAGAGATTCGAAAAGACAACAGCATCTTACAAAGGTCCTTGGCTGAAACAAGGAGGCAGAGGCATCACCAGAAAAGTTGGTGTGGGGTTGGGAAGCACAGAGTCTTAGTTTGAATCCCAATTTTATCTTTCCCCAACCACATGACCCTTAAGAGTCTGCCCATTTATACTTAGAAATTCCACTCCTAGGTATAAACCCAAAGAATAGAAAAGAGATGTTCTTCAAAAACTTACAAGTAATTGTTCAAAGCTGCACTGTTCACAAAAGCGAAAAAGTAGGACTAAACCAAGGTCTATCAACTGATGAATGAATAAATACACTAGAGTCCAACTATAACTATACAACTGACTATCACTCAGACATAAAAAGGAATGAAGTACTGAGGAATGCCACATATGGATGAACCTTGAAAACATCGTGCTGTGTGAAAGAAGTCAGTCAAAAAAGATCACATTTTAGGGGAGCTCTGGTGGCATAGTTGTAAGAAGCTGCTCTGCAATCCCAAAGCCTCGTGGCTCGAACCCACCAGATGCTCCACTGGAGAAGGAAGGGCCATCTCCTCCTGTGCCATCTGGATCCAACCTGACTGTATACAACAAGAAGAAGAAAAAACAAAAACCCACCACAAAACAAAACAAACAAAAAGATCATTATTTTGTGTGATTCCATGAATATGAAATGTCCACAAAGGACAATCTCTACATAGGAGTGGATGCCAAGGGCTGGAGGAGAAGGGAGTGACACCTAAGGAGTTTTTCTTTAGAAAGAGTATTTTGGAATTAGATGATGGTGATGGTTGCACAACATTATGATTAAACAACAAGGCTTTGAACTGGTTCTTCCTGGCCAAAAAAGCAGAACTGGAATGGACTTAAATTTGTAGAATGTTGGTGCTCCGGAATAATAGCTAGAAGGGGTAAAAATTTATGGACTGACATTCTGCAAGAAACTCAGCCTTGAGAAAGCAAGTGTGTGTGTTGCATAGCAACCAAGTCTCTTTATGGGGAGAAATGGAAAGGGCAGTAATCTGCTTGGAGATGGTGACCAACTATGTGGCTTTGGATGTGTGTCATTCTTCAAGATCCCGGCTATAACCCAACCTCCTGTATCAGGCTCTAGAAAGATTCACTACACCTCTTCTGAGTCTTAGCCTAGAGCTTCCACTTGTAACTTTTTCCATTCTGGTTATTGTTCTGCTTCACCTAAATTTTAAAAATCCAGGTCTGTTCCAATTTCACTTCGTAAATCATGAACGAACTGGTTCTAGGCCTTGCTAAAACCCAGTGAATTGTATACTTTAAAATGGAGAGTTTATGACATGTGAATCATACCTGAATAATAAGAAAAAAACCAAAGAGTTCTAGCTATGAGAACACTATTAAGCACAATGGAAACTGCTGTGAGTGTTAAATGGTGAGATGATATATGTGAACTGCTCAATGTGGTGCCTGGTACAGAGTAAGCGCTCAGATACAGAGATACAGCAGCTATATCACAATAAAGCACTACACTAACAACAGGCTTTCCGCACAAAATACAAGAAGTGGGTATGATACTGGACTGGACGAGAGGAGGCTGGGGTTCTTGAGCTCCAGCCCAGCTGCGCAATGGTGCCGCTGCCAAGCACTGCGAGGGCTTGTCACCCTCCTGTCTCTCTAGCTAAGAGCTATCTCCATGGCAACCACTGCAGCTCAGGCCAAGGGCTCCTGTTCCCAGCCGGGTGACAGCATTGCCACAGCAACCTGTCACGATGGCAAAGACAGATCTAGATGACGAGCTGTGAGCAGCTCCGGTAGAAGCATTGTTAAGGGATCCTTGTTGCCATAGAAATCGTACCAGGAAGGATAAGGAGGGGGAAAGAACAATCACAAATAAACAGGGAGGCCTACACCTTCTTATCCATGAGCCTTGAGACACCAAGGGACACAGAGAAGGGTTGGACCAATGTGCAGGAATTAGTCTCAAAGGAGACATGAATCAGTGTTCCTTGAGCAACTACTATGTGCCAGGCACCAGAGGGACTTGTGATGTGTTTGGCTGCATTGTTTAAAATTTCCTGAACAATATCCAGATGTGGTCTTTTTATAAACAACAAAACCCCTAACTACATCATTAATCAAACCACCACTTCTACCTCTTCAGCTAAGGGAACCTTCTTCCAGCCTTCTGCTATGTATCTATGCACACACATATAAAACATGCTTTAAAAACTTGTATCACTTAAAAAAATTTACTGGGATAGCATAGTATATATAGTTCTGTGACTTCTTACAGTGTACCTGGAGATCTTTCCACATCAGTAAATACACATCTAGCTCTTTACCACGTTCTATGGGTGCTCAATCTTATCAGTGATCACGAGCAATCACATTTTCTGGGTGCTGTTAGAATCCTGAAGTCACAGGTGAAATTCAAACATAGGTGAAGCGGCTTTAGTGTTCCAGCACAAGATCAGGCAAGGAAAGGCCGGGTAAACCCAGGCTGGCTAGTCCTCTATCGGCCTCCGTGTGCTCATCTGTACAACAGGAATAATCTCATCTTTCTGAAACTGTCCCAGCTTTCTCACAAAAGATGGTAGCAGTAATGAATTAATTGTACAGTGGCTTGACTACCAGCAAAGGCCTCCTATCTCCTTTGGCACATCACACCAGTACCTCCAGCACGAAGGGCAGCCGAAGGACATTCCAGCCTCAGAGTAGTGGCATCTTTGTTCTGGAACACTGGCACTCCCGTGCTCTGGAGAAGTAGATAGGCAGAGCCGGGGGCACAGAGAGTGCCCGAGGAATGCGGAATCCAAGGATACCTCCTGAGCAGTCAGCCAGCAATGGCCTGCTGTGCCTCTGGAGTGAGAAGCCACCTCAGGGCTGTCTGGAACACAGACCCCTAAGTCTAACAGATCCCAGCCCTCAGGGGTCACCTACACTGATGGTTTCCAGTTAGCACTTCATGGAACTGAATAAATGTCCTTCCCTCACTCAGGAGTGGTTTTCTTACCTATGAAATGGGTATGATCATGAGATCATCAGGCCTTTGTAAAACCTGTTGCGATCAATCGTCTAGCACAGTGTGTCTAACATGCGTGATTCCTAACACAGAGCAGGAGCACAGGTCAGGCCACATGGAGGAACTGACCCGAGCAAAGACAGACAGGCTGGTGCCAGGGCAGGAACACATTCAAGGAACTTCTAACATGCCTGGATCTGTGTCATCAGACACTGGCCTGACTTCACACCAAGTGGAAGTACCTGGCAATCCAGAAGGCATCTCCCAGGACCGCAGTCCTGTTAATTCTCCCAATGCTATTAGGGCTCCATGTTTCAGATGAGGAAAATGAGCCATAGGTGGTCAGGCCCCATGCCTGGAAGTTTTTGGCATATATTCTGTTAATCTTCCTAGCAGCTATAATTATTTAATGGATGACAGTGTCCAGAATTAGCCTGTGAGCTCCCTAAAGAAGGAACTGTTTGTCCTTGGTGCCCAGCACAGTGGACACAGTTGGTCCTTGGGAAAGGTGTGCTGCAGGAACTGAGAATAAACAGCTCTGCCAAGGAGGCACTCCCATGCCCATTTCCACAGACACACCTATCATTTCCAGAGGTCCATATCCACTGCTCCCCCACTCCCGGCCTGGCTCTCCCCAGCACCCCCTCACCTCTCTCGGCCGCTCCAGCTCCGCCTGCAGCACCTGCTTAGCCAGCTCAGTCTCAATGAGCCGCTGTCGAAGCTCCTCATTCTCTTCCTCCAGACGCGCCCGTTTCTTCTCCACCACCTCCAGCTCCTTGTGCAGCCTCACGGAGATGTCCTTGGAGACCTGGGCGGTGTGGTGAGAAGATGGTGAGAGCAGGCTGAGCGAGGCCACGTCACCACCAGTCCACGGACCCCCACCTTAGCCACAGAGCAACCCAACACAGGCATTATGACCTCCGCTTAGAAGACGAGGAAACAGGGGAACAGAGAGTCCAAGTAACTCTCATAGAACCGGGACCCCAGTCTCCCAGTGCTTACAGCAAAGTGCCATGCCAAGGACAGCATAAAGACCCTTCCTGTCTCTTCTCTCCTGCTGCCAATCAAGTTGGAACCAACTCATAGCTGACATTCCAGTGAGTTTCCAAGGCTATAAATCATCCTTCCTCATCCCTCCGAGCTGCTAGTGGATTCCAATTGCCAGAAATCTCAACCTTTGGGTTAGTATGCCACCAGAACCCCTTTGTCTGTCTCTCCTTTTGAAAAAAAATTATTTTAGCTTTTTTATGTCAGTGATTATTTTATAAATCATTTTTTTTTCCACACAAATCACTTCTGGACATTGTGTTTTATATGTGGATGCCTTTTCATTTACTTGAGACTGTTAACATTTCCAAAACCTTCTTGTGCAATTCTCACAAGAGCCTTTGGCAGAGAGTTCTTGAGGAGGAGAGCTAAATGATGGGAGAAGAAATCCAGAGCAAGATGGGCAGCCCTGGCACCATTCAAACCTCAGCCCTTCCAGTGACCAGGATGGAATCCCGGGCAAGTCATTTCCTCACCCTGCACCTCAGGCTCCTCAACTACCCAATGGGTTCAGCAACAAGAGGATCAACGACAGGAGGAGGGAATCAGCCACTGTGTGCAAATGCCTGGCACAGAGCCTGCCACACGATGAGTGTCTGATGAGTGGTGGTAGCTGTCATGCAAAGCCAAAGCTCAAGGGGGCATGACTTGCTGGACGCTAGGATGTGACCTCGGAGCCTGCTCTCAATTGTCTGGGATGGAGAACATACTCTCAGCGACAGGGCTGGGCAGGTGTCCAAGCTGTCCCTACAGGAAGAAGCTAACAGAGGTCCTGGCCTGGGATTCCATTCCTCAAGGGCACCCTCTCTCCTATCCCACCCTGGCTGGAGGCGGGGAGAAGTCAGGAGAGGGAAAATCTCTGCAGAACCACCAATTGCCACAGAGGGGTAACTGACCATGGCGGCCCCATGAGAGTCAGGGCAGAACAGGGCTCCATAATGGCTGGGTTTTTAAAAAATAGATCACCAGGTCTTCTTCCAAGGCATCTCTGGGTGAGCCTGAACCCTCAAACTTTTGGTCAGAAGCTGAAAGCATCAACTGTACCACCCAGTGACCGAGGATGAAAAAGGAAGGGCCTGAGAATCATAACGAGCATCCATCCCTCCACAGACTGGGGCCAAGATATCTGGGACTAGAGATGGAGGACAGAGGGACCAGGCTGGGATGCAACCGATTGTTGAATACCTACTATGTGCCAGACACAACGCTGTCCCACCTTTTTTTAAAAAAAATTTTTTATTACTAATTTCAATGAAAATTTACAGAGACTTTGGACTTCCATTCATTCATTGTTGCACTTTTCTCCCCTCCCAACCCTCGCCCCAGTACATTCCTCTTGGAAAAGTAAAAGAAAAATTATTTCATTGTTTTACAATCCCACCCTCCAGGTCCACTCCACTATGCAGCCTTTGTTCTGGACCCCTGTCATGACAAAAATACCTAATCACATATCTTTTTTAAAGTTTTCTCCCTCATCTGTTTCAATGCAGTATACATTATTTATCCCATCCTTCTCAGTCTCCCCCCAACCCCGATGTCAGTCCTGTTTTACAACAGTGGCACCATGCAGTATTTGTCCTTTTGTGACTGAGATACTTCAGTCAGCATAATGTCCTCCAGGGTCACCCACTGTGAATAATGTTGCATAAGTTCCTTGTTTTTCTATGCACCGTAGTATTCCATTGTGTGAATATACCACGGCTTCTCTATCCATTCGTTTGTTGATGGGCACTTAGGTTGTTTCCAACTCTTTGTTATTGTGAACAAAGCCGCGATAAACATTGGTGTGCATATATCTGCTTGGGTGGCAGTTATGGTCTCTTTGGGGTATATTCCCAGTAGTGGAATTTCTGGGTCTGTTCCATCTTACTGACAAGGAAATAAAGGCTTAGAGAAGTGACTTGCAGGGTCATGTGAGGCAACTGGGGGCAGGGCTAGGCTGGGGACCCCAGGCCGATGCTCAGAGCCTTGATGGCGCAGGGTCCCTGACAGCAGGAGGTACACATGGGGCAGACAGCCCAGCACCCTATGCCTGCCAGTCTCGGAAATGACTGTGGCGCCTCCTCCCCACCGGAAGGGAAGGGAGCCCTCCCTGGCTCTGCCCTCTGCCTGGGTCTGAGCCCAGCTCGGCATGGACCCCTTGGCAGCATGCAAGGCAGGCCAGGAAAAACAACGGTCAGAAAGGAAATCTGGTACTGCCCTAAGATCCCTTCTCTGTCTCCTACCCACCTTCTTCCCCTTCCCCTGAAGATCTCTGAGCACAGCCAGAAGCTGGTCCACCAGGCTCCTCCTCCAACCTCAGGAGGCCACCAAACTTTCCTCCATCCATAGAGTGGGGTCAGCAATGTCTACCTCTGTTATCAGAACAAGGAGTCTGCCAATGGGAAAACTGGATCCGAGCCCAGTTCCAGCATTCACTGGCGAGGTGACCTAGAACAAGTTAGTTAACCATTCAAAGCCCTAGTTTGCTTATCGGTAAAACGAAGCTTGTTGAAATCTACTCAATGAGGGCTGCTGTAAGAAATAAACATGATGGATATGAAATTCTATAGCTAAAATATGATAGGTACTTAATAAAACATTAGTGCTTGTTAATGCATCATCAAGATTACTGCTTCACTCTTGTCAAATACAGCAGAAAACTATTTAAAGAAGAGTGAAAAATGTTACTTAATCTATGTGCAATGATTCGTCCACCTTGGCTCAGTTACTCACCACTATCTACACTCTTGATTTTGGTGTCAGATTTTTGTCGGGTGATCGTTTGCTCAAACTTAAGGCTGAAATTCGGGGCTGCTAAGTCACACAGAGAAGCCTTGTCTGATCAACACTCCCATTCACTCATCATCCTGTTTAGTCATTGCGGGCAGGAGTGATGAGTACAGAGAGGAAGGTCTTAGCCCTCGCCGGGCTGACTCACAACTGTGTTCACAGCACCGGTAGAGCAGCTGGTACACAGTAAGTGCCCAATAAATGCTTGTTGGAGGAAGAGAAAAACCCAAGACTCCAACAAGTGAGAAGAGAGGAAGATGAAAGTGTGAGTGACTGAATCATATGGGGAGCTGACCCTGTCCTCACAGTCAAGGGATGCTCCCCTCAGCTGCCCATTTCACCCACTATTTGGAAGGGTTATACTCCTGCCTGGAGGGCTCCACCCTCAACTATGCTCCACTTGGGCCAGCTCCTCTCCATCTGGACCAGCTTCTTTATCACTTCCACAGTCCAAGAAGCTTTAATCCACCCATGGAGCTCCTTGCAACTTTTAGGCCCATGAATGGCTCTCTGTATTTCATGCCAAACCTTTAATGGGTCCTCAGTTCCCTCCTGCCCCATTCTCCCATTTGCTCCCCACACCTACAGGTTATGCATCAAGAGATCCCAATCCCAGGTGGCTTGTGGAATTCCAGTTTGGACAAAAAAGCCCTTTCTCTCAGATCCCCACACAGTAGCCTGGTCCCCGTGGAAGCCCGGGAAAGACAAGAGCACAAGGCCTGGAGGCAGGAGCCTAGTGGCCAGCACATGTTCCTTCCATCACTAAACCTCCACAGTCCCAAGACCTCTTTTCTCTCACAGATAACTTCTAGAATCAGCTCAGACCTGAGTACACTCTGAGGGGTAACATCTTAGCCTTTCACCTTCAAAAACACTTTATTATCTTCCTTCTGAGGTTCAAAAGGTCATTTGTCCAAGGTCACACAACTAGAAAGTTACAGAAGCAAGATTTGCTTTGAGAAGTATCAGTGCAACAGATAGAAACATTAATAATAATAGCATGACCAGCAAACTCCAACAGTGTGCCTGTCCTGTGTCAGGAGCTTGTAGCGCCCCAATTGTCCATCTCATTTGATCCCCTCAATAATCCCCAAGGTAGGGGGGCTGAGACACTAAGGGAGGCAAAGCAGCTGCAGCTTCCGCAAACCAGGGCAATTCCCCAAAGCACAAACAAATGCACTCAGCCATGAGGTAACTGTTTACAGCACAGAGGCCTCACTCTTGCCAACTGTGGCCACAGCCTCAGCCGGCAGCTCCCCCTGCAGCTCCTCGATTTGTCTGGCCCCAGCTCTGGGGCTCAGGGGCTCAGGGACTCTGAGGCTTTGGGGCTCAGAAGCTCAAGGTTTCTGGTGGTTTGGGAGTCAGAGTCTCTGGGGCTTTGGGGCTCTGAGGCCTCAGGCCATAAGGAATCCTTGTCATTATGAATCCTCAGGGAGGGGGCTGGGAAGGCTCATGAAAGAAAGTTCCACCAGAATGCTGGCATGCCAGCCTTTCTGTGGGTGAATTCTCTCAAAAACCTCGGGAGGGTAAGAACGTCACCCCTGTTTTACAGATGAGGAAACTGAGACTCAAGCAAGGGAGGCGACCTGTTTAGATCACACAGGAATTCAATCCAATGCCAAAACACTTTTTTTTTCTCCTCCTGTTTCTTAGAAAGGTCATTTTCTACTCTGGTGTGCCTGAGCCTCCCCAGGGGGTCACTTCAGGTGGTAATTTATATCCCAGAATCCAGAAGCAGACACCAGGGTCCCAGCCACGGAGATGAGGTCTGGGGATCTGCATTGTGAACCAGTCCTTCAGGTAATTCTATCCACCCTAGTCCGTGGTCCCAGTCACTTGTCCTACTAGAACCTCCTAAGTTCTCCCAAACAACACACACAGTGTTACAGCCAACATTAGCTCATTTGTCACGTGAGCATCTGCTCATTTGCCTGCCGACTTTGAATGATTTCATTTTAGCTTCACAGATATTACAAGTGGGGACCAGTTTTCCTTAAGTATACCCAGAGCCACACAGTAAACAAGTGGCAGAGAGATTCTCTGCTCTACTTCCATCCTGGCCCTGCCGGCCTCTGGCCAAAGTACCTGCTAAGGATCCTGGGTCTTGTTAGCTGTGAGGGCCAGCAGAGGTGGAGAGAGCCTGGAGGGCGCCTACACCAATAACCCATCGATCCACTAAAACCATCTGAGCTGCCAGACTCCTGCAGAAGTGCTGGTCTAAGCCCATTTGACAGAAGAAGGAAAAGGGGTCTTGAGTGGCAGAGGGGCGGTCAAGGCACCAGCCAAGGACCTGGTAGATCAAGTCAGAAGTGTCCTCAAGGATTTCCGCATAAGCATTCCCGGCCCCCTCCCCACCTGGGTCCACCAAGCCCTCTTGGCAGTGCACGGGAAATTGGCAATCAGGCGGCCTCCAAGAACACTCCTGAGCAGCCCCTGCACACTGAGGCCTGAGCAGCCCCTGCACACTGAGGCAAAAGGCGGGGTCCAGAGGCACCCAGCTCAGCCTGCAGACTGTAGATGAGCTCAGACTTCCAGCTGCAGGGGCAAGGAGAGGAGGGAGGGGGAGAGAGGGGCAAGGCTGCTGCTGATTGGCTAGTTCAAATCCTAACAAGAGGGGGGGCTCCCCTCCCCCCAGACTTCTGTGAGCCACTCCGCCCCAGCAGCTGTGCTCAGGCCCGCCCATGGACCTGCCAACTCCATCAGCCTGCAGCCTGCTGCCCTGCCCCAAGCTGCCTTACACCCTTTCCTCTTCAATCTAAGTGCAAATCTTTTTGTGAATCTCACTGTGTCATCCTAACTCAACTAAATTCCTGGGCTTCTCCACATATGTGCCCTTTAATCCAGTGACTGCAGTTTGAATATCCATGTAACCATTAAGAGCCCTTGTATCGCAGTGATTATACACTCAGCTACTGACTGGAAAGTTGGTTGTTAGAACCCACCACCAGAGGACCTGCGGAAGAAAGACATGGCGATCTGTTTCTATAACAGTCCTGGAAACCCTATGAGCAGGTCTTCTCTGTCCTATACAATCACTATGAGTCAAGATTGACTTGACAGCACTGGGTTTTGTGTTATCATCTATCCAGGGTACAGTATATTTTCATTGGACATAGCAGCACAGTCTTGTGGAGGTCAGTCTCTTCATCTGTTCAATGGGCCTACAACCGCACTGGACAGATTCAAGACTATGTGAGGTACGAAGCCTGCAGGAATGATTCTCGCTATTGATGTTCACTGGCCCTAGAACCTCTGAAATCCTAGCCCTTGCTTTGCTCCTTCATTAAGATTTATTTCCCGAATCTTTTCTTTTACTTTTCCATAATTTTTGGACTCATGTACTTATAACTTGTTAGTCAAATTTGTGTCTTCTAGGTTGCAACACCCCCATGATACATCTTCAAGGATATGAACATGTACAGCCAACCACAATCAATAAGAGTGCATCTAAATTCCAAAATAAATCTCCATAATAGTCTATGTGTTGCCTACTGCCAAAGGGGCCCTTTAGAGTAGTGAGAGAAGATCTTCACCCTGAAACCCACAGCATCCCTTTTCAGCAGGAAGTAGCTAAGAGAACACGCCATCCCCTTTTCCTTATGACTCAGGGTGAAGTCTCTCTCAGGGAGGAGTGATAGGGAATGGCAAAGGACACACTGACAAAGAAGATTAATCAGAACTGGCTTTGACAAGCACTGTGGCATTTGGACAAGAACAAACTGGGAGGAGGGTAGAGAGAATAGTGCAACAATGAATGAGTGGAAGCCCAAAATCTCTGTAAATGTTTATGAAAATTAATAAAATATAATTATAGAAAAAAAAAGATGTATTTCCCTGCATAGTCCACTGGAGAACCCCAGGGCTTGAATTTGCTTGTGCATTTGAAATAACTGTCTTCTCCAGGCCTGTGTGTCGGCCTTCATCACCACGCTGCAGGCGTTCAGCAGGTAGACCACTGACACTCCATCCGACCTCTGTGCCCAGGGCTCTTTCCCTGGCCCTCTTCACACATTCTGCTCGTCTTCTTACTGCTCAATCTGGCTTCAAACCAGGTGGATCCTCAAGGCTCTGTGTCTGAGCCAGATGTCCCCAACTCCTGGTCCCACAGTCCCCTTATCACACTGAGCTGAGTTCTGAGAGCAGGAAGTTGGGCCCAGGTCCTTCTCTGGGGTTTTAAGCCATCAGACCAGGGCTTACACAGATAGGGTAGAATTTTCTAGAGCACTTAGCTGCCAAAATGCATCTTGAGACAGAGAGAAATGAGAAGGTAGTGTGAGACTGGGTAGAGCGCTTAGGAGGCCCTGGGTCCATGCAGTGTGACCACAAACAGACCCTTCTTTTCTGGGAACCTCAGTTTTGTCATCAGGAAAATGGAAATAATAATAGCCTAAGTGTGGTAAACTGACATTTTACCTACATTCTCTTATATAATCCTCATAAAACCCTATGAAATAGGGGTTGCAGTTATATCTATTTTACAAACGGAATTGTAACACAGGGGCTTTGCTCAAGGTTACAAACCTTCTAGAATATTTGAGAGCCATGATGTGCAACTGTCTTATTCATCTCAAGAGCATTCCCTGCTCTCCACTCAACTGAAAAAACAAACCTCTGGTGGAATTGTGCCCAATGCCAGGCATGTGGTAAATCCTCAATAAACAGCAGCTGCATTAGCAGGGCTTTTGCTATGCTATTGCTCTGAGGAGTCTTTAAGATACACTTTACGAATGAGGAAACTAAGACCCAGAGGGGTGGTGTAACTTGCCCAAAGACACACAGGAAGTGAGATGCAGGGCTGACCCTAGTCTCACTGATCACACCTCCAAAGGCACCTAGAAGGATTAAAGATTCCCCCCCACTCTCACCTTGACATCCTGCTCGAGGCCACGAATGAGCTCACCATCCACCTGGCCAGTCTGGGCGGCACGCAGGCTACGGCGCTCGGCCTTGCGCAGTCGGTACTGCAGGATCCGGCAGGTCTTGCTGGCTTGGTCTAGCTGCTGCCGCAGCTCCTGCAACTGGTAGACATCCTCCTCCATGTAGACATCCCGCATCTCCAGCATCTCCGCCCGCAGCTCCTCAATCTCATCCTGCAGAGGTGAAGGGTGGTCAGGTTACTGGCCCTGTGGCAGTAACTGGGGCACGTGATGCAACACCCAATGTTATCCTAGGCACCTCAGTGTGGCTGAGTATAGCAGGCTGAACACCAGCCCTCCTGAATATGCCGCCATCCTAATCCCTAGAATCTGTAAATATGTTATCTTATCCTTTTTCCAAAAAGGATTTTGCAGATGTGATTAAAGGTTTTGAGATGGGGAGATGATCCTGGATTATCAACAGCGGCCAGAATAATTACTACCACCACCCGGAGTGGAGTGGAGGGTTATTCCCAGTCTTAGCGACTCCATGAGTTTCACAGCAGTACTGCTCCACTGAGTTGTCAAAGGAGGTGACCTTTTCAGGAGATAACCAGGCCTTTCTTCCAAGGAACTTGTGAATGAATTCAAACTGTCAACCAACTAGTTAGCAGCTAAAGTGCTTAATCATGTGGGCCACCCTGGGCCCCCTTAATGGAATCTCAGAGATCTTTAGAAATGAAAAGGTGAAGCGGGAGTGAGAGCCAGAGCACGAGATGGGATAATGAAAGAGGAGACTGAAGTGATGCCACTGCAGACAGGGGGCCACTAATCAAGGAATGTGAGCAACCTCTACATGTCAGAAAAGGCAAAGCACAGATTCTCCCTGAGAGCCATCCCACGGGATGTAGCCCTGTTGAGAGTTACATTTCAAGACTCATCTCCAGGGCTTTGAGATAATAAATTGTGTGTTGCTATATGGCACTAAATTTGTGGTCATTTGCTACAGCATCAGTAGGTAACCAGCACACAGTGGAAGGGGAAGCTTGTTTAGCAAATGTTTATGAGTACCAGCTACGAGCAGCCCCTGTGCGAGGCAAAGGGAGAGGGGACGGTGATGACCAGCAGTGACCTTCTAGTATGAACCTCCAAGTCTCAGCCGGAGAAATACCAAAAACAAGTACAACTATTGTTGTTGTTGCTGCTGCGTACCACAGAGTTGGAACTGACCCACAGCTGATCATCCAGTGGGTTTTTCAGAGGCAATTAACTGCCCAGGAGGAGACTGCCCATCTTTCTCCTATGGAGCAGCTGGTGGCCTCGAAATGTGTGCCTTTGGGATTGCTGCACAGCTTCTTGCCACCAGGCCACCAGAGCTCTATGATACTATTAAATACCAAGAAGTCAACTGGACATTGAAAAAGTGATGGGGAACGTGGCATGTTCCAAGGACATAGTCGGGGTGATATCTGAGCTGAGACAAGAACAGCAAAGTAGAGAGAGCATACACCAGGCAAAGGTCATTCCAGGCAGAGGGAAGAGGAGGAACAAAAGCGCAGAGGCAGGAAAGAGCTCAGTACATCAAGAAGACAACGCCAGGGTGGATAAGGAAGTAGGCAAAGTCAAGGGAAACTGACAGGGCCCAGCCAGGCAGGGCCTGAAAGAGCCAAGTAAGGAGTCTGGGTTTGAAGTGAGTAGTGGGGGGTGACCTCACTTCCTCAGTGCAGCTCTTGTCCACGTCTGTCACCAGCTCCCAGAGGTTCCTCACTTCTCCTTTTCAGTTATTATTATATGTCTGCCAAGTCTTTATCTAGCAGCTTTTCTCCCCATAAGACCGAGTGCCAAGTGGACCACTTTAAGCCAACCTCTTACCTTGCTGTATCCTCCACACTCAGGTGGGGCCTGGCATCCTGCAGGCTACCAACACATATTAATGGAATGAATGAATGAATCAAGGTCCAGTCAGAGCAAAAGCAGCAAAAAAGATAGACCGATGTGAGAACAGCCCACAGACACTAAAGTGTGAGGGGGAAATGGAGGAACCCCAAAGGCAGAAATATAATTCTATTTTACAGATCTGATCACAGAGTCACAAATGGGGAAACAGTACCTACTCTTAGGGTATATGAATCGGTTGAATGAGATTATGCAGCTATTTAAAAAGGCACCAGAGGCAAACCCGATCACTAGCTCTGCATGATGTTGCAGAAGCAAGGCGAACCAGGTTTGCAAAAGTAATTGTGGTGACAGAAATTTTGTGGCCTCAGGGACTACTGAGGTGGCACATTATATCCTAATACAGTATTAAAAAAAAAAAAAAGAGGCACCAGAGTCAAGATGCCCCTGAGGAACAAGAGAAAGTCCCCAGGGACAATGCTGGTGGAAGGAGGAAGATGGATCCAAGTAGTAAAAAAGGCTCTTTTGGGAACCACTAACTCTTGAAACTCCATTTCCAACAAAAATGGAAACAGACTGGGAAGAAGGACATACTATCCCTCATGCTCACGCCTCATCAGTCAGAGTGGCCACTCTGCTCTCCCTACCCCAGGCGCATCTTCAGGAGGAGGGGTACTTCGGGCTTCTAACGCAGAACCCCTCACCCACCCTCCCTGAGGGGATTGATGGGGGGGGAGGGGACTTAATGGCTAATTATTGTTCTGAGGTGTCATCAAATGGAAACTAAGTCATAGCTGATCCTCTACTGGGTTTTCAGAGGCTGTTAATCATACGGGAGGAAACTGTCCATCTTTCTCCACAGAAAAAACATGGGAGAAAATAGAGCAGCTGGTGTATTCGAACTGCCTGCCTCTGGGTTGGCAGCACAACTCCTAACCTATTTAGCCACCTGAGCTCTCCTATGTCCAGGGAAAGGATCAAATACAGCGGGCCGTGGGTTCTCTCTGTTCACATCTGTTTGTCCACAAGACAAGGGTAAGTGCTGTTAAGCCATAGAGTCATCTTAGTGGGTGACTCCTGGTGAGAAGAGGTAGTCTTCTGGGGTTGCCCAGCACCCCCAGAAACTAACTGGCCGAGCTGAAGGCAGAATCAGAAAGCATTACTCCCTGGTCCAGTTCTGAGCAATATGAAAGCTAACCAAAATTTTCCTATCATCTGGTCAACTTTTGGGACTATTTCTCAAATGGTCGAAAGCCAGGAGAGAAAGGCAGATATGACAAGTATTTTTTTTCTCTTAACCCCAGAAGAGACTGTCTCCCGATCAAGTGCAGGATTTAATCCCCACTTGCCACCACAGCCTATATCCCAGAGGTAGCTCTGGTGGCATTCGCCAAAGGGGGCAATCCTGCCCTGGCCAGAAGTGGAGAAAGCCCCCTGCCAGGCGCCCCACCCCCACCTCCACCCTAATACACAGACTCACCCCCTGGCAACTGGCCATGTGGACAAAGCTTGAATGGGAAAAGGAGGAAGTGTGATAGGCGATGATCACAGCAATCTGAGAAATGGAGAAGTGAGGGGTCCATGCACCACCGTTTCAGCTGACAGATTAAGGAAGCATGAAGGAAACACCATTCAGGAAGTGTAGACCAGTCGGCCAAGTCTGAGTTAAATCGGCCTCCAGATGGGCCTGTGTTCAAATTCCAGAGATGTCACTTAAAAGCACCTGATGTATTCATGTTGGTGGTGACATCGATGGGACTTGGTGATGAGCAGGATACTGGGGTCTGAGTGGACCCCAAGCTCAGGAGTGAAGGGTCAGTTGTAGGGGCTGCCCTGGCTCACAATGCTGGGCTACATAAACAGATACATGGCATTTAGATCATGAAAAGTGATGTTTCTCCAGAGTGTACCACACTCAGAACACTGGGGCCATTTTGAGAAATTACTGCTAAAGTTCTATAAATATATAGGCAGATATATGAACTCTGGTGGCCTAATGGTAAGAAAATGCACTGTCAGCCCAAAGCTGGACTGTTTGAATCCACTAGCGGCTCTCAGGAAAGATGGGCACTCGCTTCCCATTCAATTTATAGTCTGAAAACCTGCTGGAGGGTCGGCTATCAATCATTTCCAACTGGATATATATATACATACACACACACATACCCACACATACACTTCAATATTTTTGTATCTACAACTGAGTGATATCAATTACATTTATCACATCATATAACAACCTCAATGACAGAAGAGTTGTGGTGCTGGAGAAGAGTGCTGAATATATCATGGACTGCTAAGAGAAGAAACAGGTCCATCATGGAGAAGGTGAAACCAGGCTGCTCCTTGGAGGCAAGGATTTTCAAGCTCTGTCTGACATACTTTGGGCATGTTGCACAGAGGGACCAATCCTTGGAGAGAGAGATCATGGTTCAAAGGATGGAGGAAAAGTACAAGAGAAAAAGACCCTAGATGACATGGATTGGCTCAGTGACCGGGGTAATGGGGGTAGGTGTGTCAGAGACGATGAAACTGGCTCAGAAGAGCAGGGTTCAGAGCTGTTGTACACAGGGTTGCTATGAGTCAGAGTTATCTTGACGGTACATAGCAACAACTGTCTAGTTTCAATTTTTTCAATCATCCTTAATAGAAGCTGAGCATCCCCCAAGCAATGTGTCCTCCTTTGTCCTCTTTCCTATCCTCATTTGTTATTGTGTGCTATCGAGTTGGAAATGACCCACAGCTGACCCTCTAGTGGGTTTTCAGAGGCAAAAATTTGCACAGGAAGAGACTTCCTATCCTCCCCCTATCTTCATCAGCCACTAATCATCTTTGGTCTCTATACACAGGCCTGTCCCAGGTATGTCAAGTAAGTGGAATCACGCAATATTTGTCCTGCCTGTATTTATAGTGTGGCTGACCTATTCGATTCAGTCATGTCTGCAAGATCCATTTATCTGTGTTGTAACATGTCTCGGAACTTCACTTCTCTACGGCAGAGGAGTATTCTGTTGTACACATGTACCACGTTTTGCATTCTGTCTTACCTCTCCATCTTTTTGACAGGAATTATAGTTGCTGAAATTGTGCTGCAATGAATACTGGTGGGCCAGTATATGTGCTCTTGCTTTCAATTCCTTTGGGTACATACCTGAGTGGAACTACTGAATCATATGTGCATTCTTGCTTGCATTTTCTTGTGCTTTTTCTAAACTTTTTGAGGAAACTTCAAATTGCTTGGAAATCACTTAATTAAAAAAAAAAACAAAAAACAAACCAACAACTTTTCTAGTTATGAAAGTAAAACATGGTCATAGAAACTGTTCTGCAAACATTAA